TAAATTAGATATACAAGCAATGTTCCTCAAAACAATAAAGGCCATATGTGATAAACCTCTAGCTAACATACCCAACAGTGAGAAATTGAAGGACTTTCCTTTAAGATCTGGAACAAAACCAGGATACCCACTGTAACCATTTATTTTCAAAGTAGTAATGGAAGTGCCAGGAAGAGCAATCAAACATGACAAATAAATTTAAAATATCCAAACTGAAAAGGAAGAAGTAAAATTTTCATTGTTGGTGATGACATCTTTTACACAAGAACTAATAAATGAATGCAATGAAGTTGCAAGATGCAAAATCAACACATAAAAATCAGTAGTATTTCTATACACTGACAATGAACTTTTTCTTTCTCAAAAAGAAAGAGAACAATCCCATTTATAATAGCTATGAAAAAATATGTGGAAATAAATCTAACCAAGGAGGTAAAGTGTACACTGAGAATTATAAAACTCTGATGAAAGAAATGGAAGAGAACACAAATAAATGAAAAAATATGATGTTTATGGTTTGGAAGAATTAATATTGTTAAAATGTCCACACTACCCAAAGCAATCTACCTATTCAATGTAATCCCTATCAAATTACTGATGTCTAGTTATGGAATCATAAGTGTCATCAACAGATGAATAGATAAATTTAGTAAATATGCACTGCATTTTAAAAAAGAAGAACATTCTGCCATTTAGGGCTGCATGAATAAACCTGGAGGACATTATGTTAAGTAAAATAAGCCAGGTACAGGAAAACAAATATTGCATATTCTCACTTGTATGTGGAAGCTAAACCATTCAAATTCACAGCAGCAGAGAGCAGAATGGTGGTTATGGAGGATGGGGCTCGAGTAAAAGGAAGAGGATGTTCAAGGGACACAAAGTCTCAGGCAGAGGGAATACATTTTTTTGGGGGGGATCTATTGCACAGCATGGTGAATAGTTAATAATAGTATATTGTATGTTTCAAACTTGCTTAGAGAATTTCAAATGTTCTCACCACCAAAAATAAGTACTTGAGGTTAGCTTGATTTAATTATTTCACATTCTATTCATAATTCATAAAATCACTTTGTATGCTATAAATATATACAATTAGAAATGGTCAGCTTACAATATAATTAAAGAACAACAACCAAACAAAACAATGCCTATCTATGCATATGCTCTCTGACTCAGGAATCATAAGGAGACTATTATTATTATTATTATTATTATTTCTGAGACGGAGTTTCACTCTTGTTACCCAGGCTGGAGTGCAATGGCGCGATCTCGGCTCACTGCAACCTCCGCCTCCTGGGTTCAGGCAATTCTCCTGCCTCAGCCTCCTGAGTAGCTGGGATTACAGGCGTGCGCCACCATGCCCAGCTAATTTTTTGTATTTTTAGTAGAGACGGGGTTTCACCATGTTGACCAGGATGGTCTCGATCTCTTGACCTCGTGATCCACCCGCCTCGGCCTCCCAAAGTGCTGGGATTACAGGCGTGAGCCACCACGCCCAGCCCATTATTATTATTATTTTTGAGACAGAGTCTTGCTCTTTTGCCCAGGCTGGAGTGCAGTGGTGTGATCTAGGCTCACCACAACCTCCGCCAAGGAGGTTATTGTTATAATTAATTAACTATTTTTTTTAAACTAGCAAATAGTTGAAAAAACCAATAAAGTAAGACTAAAATACTAATTGTATATATACAGAATTGTATTGATGTATTGATAATATAGGATTAAAACAAAAGGAAAGATCTAGATGTACAATTTAACATAGATAAATCTCCAAGACAGGATACCGAGTAAAAAATAAACAGTGACTTATAGAATGAAACTTATACAGTTTATTATATGTAAATAACACACACACACACACATATGCATCTACACGTATTCTTTCTAAAGATAAATGGATGACCATTAAAGTACTGAAAAACGTTCAGGGGGGTGACAGCCTTTAAAATGATGTTCTGTTATGCTTTTTTAAAGAATATACTTTTGTATAACTAGGTGGGCAAATTTGATTATGTTGGTAATTAAAATAAAATTTTATAAAACTATTTGATAATTAGCCCTTTTACCTAAGAAATAAATCAAAATGAACTCAGAAATGGAGAAGTCATGATAAGAGCATTGAATGATAGGTACCAAATTCACTTAAATGTAGTAACAGGCTAAACGACAAGGAAAATATGTTTTTAGAATACATTTTATATGTTGCAACATGAAAAACATAAGAAATGCGTAGGTAGTCAGGGAAAGGCAATGAGCATATGTATGATGTTGATTCAATGTTGGTTTGGGATGAGAATACATTGTGCTGATAAATTTCTTAGTGTACTACATTTTTTACTGTAAGTTTCTTCAGTTCCTTCTCAAATGATTGGTAAGGCATTAGGTACAGGATAGGCATCTAACAAATATCAATACAACAATAATGGTAAAGGCCATGACAACTCTTTCTTTGGGAAGTAGCAATCCCATTATCAAATACTGTTGGCTATGCAAAACTCAGTGTTAGAATGCCCTGAATTCCGCTGTCCATAGTTTGCAATCCTAATTATTTAAGAAACATCCACTTTGGGAATATTCATTTGGATTCTACCCACCTTCTACCTACGCCCATACCAAACACGGTCAGAAAATCATTTGGTGTTGCATAGGTGCTGCAGGAGATCAAGACTTAGAATGCAGGCCTAGCGATCTTCTAATCAAATTACTTGGCCTTCCTAAGAACTATTTTCCCCATTTGTCAAATGCATTAATGGTGCTTCAGGTCTTAGCTCACAGAGAAGGTATAGGAATAACATATGAATGTTCTTTGAATTTTAAATGTTAGACTTTAATGTTTTCTGAATTATGATGCCTGACTCTTACCTGATGGACAAAGCAGGGAGTTGAATGTCGTTTCCTTCTCCAGTCCTTCAGGCTGTAGGTAAGAGAAAGAAAAGTGAGTGAGAATGGACTGACCTTCAGAACATGTGTGTTGATGGAGGGGCCACAAATATCTGGATAGTTGAACTGCATTATCTAAGCAAATTCTGTCCCTATAAGCAATATGAAGGAGGCAGTGTGATGCATGAACAAGTGAAGTAAAAACTAAGAAAGTAAATCAAGAGGAGGTTGGGCATGGTGGTTCACACCTGTGATCCAAGCACTTTGGGAAACAGGCGGGCAGATCACTTGAGGTTGGGAGTTGGGAGACCAGCCTGGCCGACATGGTGAAACCCTGTCTCTACTAAAAATATGAAAATTAGCTGGATGTGGTGGTGCACGCCTGTAATCCCAGCTACTCGGGAGGCTGAGGCATGAGAATTGCTTGCACTCAGGAGGCCGAGGTTACAATGAGCAGAGATTCTACCACAGCACTCCAGCCCGGGCAACAGAGCAAGACTGTCTCAAAAACAAAACCAGAAAACCCCAACAAAACAGAAACTAAATCAAGAGAGAGAGAAGGCAGAGAGAGACATGAGATTAATATAAAATATCCAGATATTATTATATTACCCATATATATTATTATGGACTATATATTATTTAGGTTTACTTACTTCAACCAAAAGAGGCTTGATGATTGTGTCTTTCTTTCCATATTCAGGGACTGAAGTCACCTCAGTCCCACACAGCTCTTGAGACTCTAGTGCCTCTGCACTCACAGTGAAATTCACATTTCCTAAAAAAAAAAAAGGCCAATAGAAATGAATAACATCTTTCCCTTCCTCCATGCCTCCAAACTTGAGATTTATAAGTGTTCAATGCTCTGTAAGCTTTTGTTTCATTAAAACACAGAAGGAGGAACAGAAACGTGTAAATGAGAGGTGCATGACACTGAGAATTCGAGGTGGAGATAGATGTTGGGGATATCCTTGTAGGCATCTTAGAATAAAAGACAAAGGAAAAAAACTGTGTCATCTAGTGGTCTTTTCCTGAAGGAAGTGGCACTGAATATAAGGTTCCCACTGCCATGTACAATCTTTGAGAGAATTATCTCTTGGAGTTTGTTGCTCACCTAATGACTTTGGGGTTATTGCCCAGGACACAGTTTGCCGCCCATTCACACAGATGCAGTGAGGCCCTTGCTCCTTCTCCACTGGGACAGCGAGGAAGGCGGGAGAAACTTCCAGCTGCACGCTGACCTGAAGCCACACATAAAAAAGAGAGTAGAGGGGGAAGGACAGCAGAGGACGAATGGGTTTGAAGTCAACCATCTTGAGGAATTGGTTAGATTTCACGTTGCCTCACATTAAAGATGATATAAATGAAGATAAAGTACCTGGAATACAGTAAGTGGATCTGACATGTAAATGTGAGTTATTTTGGAAGCAACCTGCTCTTTGATGTGATAGGACCAGAAGTGAAAGGTAGTGATGGCATGCTGCTCTACCTCTTTGGCCTGAAACCTCAACTCTCGGATCTCTCAGCAGAGGATACAAGACTTATAAACAGTTATGCTTTCAGCAGACGTAAGATGCTCACAGATGGTTTCAGCAGAGGTAAGATGCTCACAGATGACTTTTAACATTAGGTTTAATATAATGACAAGTTAATATATGAGAACATAGGAGCTAAGAAAAGTTAAATATATGAGAATGTAGAGGTTGAAATCCTGTAGAATCTGTCATGAGAATAGAGTACTGACTTTTGTCATCCCTGTCAGAATTCTTCATACCACACAAACACTAATTTTGAAGGGTTATGATAAGGGCTAGAAACTTGCTTTATGGTGCAATTTGGTATCTGGAGACATCACAATCTGTAACTTATGCAATTGTGAGTATCTAGTAAACATATCTTGCATACAAGAGTTTGTTAGTACTCCTAGGAATGCAACTTTTAATTTACTTGACCGTTACCTTGTGTTTAATTTAGGAAAGAGATTCTTACCCGGATGCATTTGGGAAGGTAGTTTAGGACAGTGGCCTTGAGTGTGAAGACCTCTCCACGGATCACAGAGTAGGGCATTGTGAGCTCCACAAAGAAGGGCTGGAAGGCTTGGAGAGAGGCAGTGGGAGAGATACCAAGTCCAGCATCTTTGGACAGGCAGAAGGCCCCTGCCTTCCACTCGGTGATGGTGTCAGGGACTGTTACTTCTACCTCAGCTTCGCCTGCCGAGCTGGAGAGGAGGGCAAGTGAAGAACAGAAAATAGGTAAATACACTCTTTCTAGGGAGAGAAATGTCATGACTTAAAAGCACTCAAGAGAAATATCAATAATGGAGAGTATAATCAAGGATTGAGATGGGGAATATAGGCCTTTTCTTCCAACTTTAAAAAGAACTGTTTTAAATTGTAGTATATCAGAACTGTTGCATAATCTTATACAGACAATATAGTTATAAATTAAATATGCAATTTGAGAATGCTCTTAAGTTCTCTTTTCTAAAATGCTATTCCACTGAGGGCTGCTTTATAATTTTAAATTCTACTACTGTTGTTTATGGTGGACCTGATTGAATTTGTATTTAACTCAGAATTGCTAACCAAGGATCTCCTACAGGCGTTAATCTGTGCAGTACCTGGTTATATTTGGTCCTTATGCCCATTTTCTGGAAATCTTAGAATTAAATTTACACAAAATTTTTTAGCTCTGAAGCAATTAGATTAGTGAGACTTCTTAGGTCTTGAGTATTTACGTTATACATCTTCTGAAATTAGCAATGTGTTTGAAAGAAGTACTTCAGTACTGAAAGATTAGCTAACAGCTCCCAGTTTCTCCCTGCAAGGGCTTTGTCTACTCACTTTCTCAGTTGCTGACTGAGTGTTAGGTTTCTAACTAGCCTGCACCAGGAAATGGAAGGGTCAGGGATACCTCACAGAGAGACTGAAAGGCAGTATGGGCACTTCCCATGCCTTCTTCCCCTGGCTTGCCCCACAGATAAAACCACGTCTCCAACATACCCCTGAGAATAATTTGTCTATGCATCAAGCACCCCAATGTTTATTATTCCCAGGGGTATGTTGGAGACCTGGTTTTATCTGTGAGGCAAGCCAGCTCCTACCTAAGGGTCTGGCTCCTAAATCACCTAGCTCCAGGAGTAGATGGAGCTCTGAATTCAGGAGTCTCCCTAGACCGCGGTGAACAAGGAGGTGGTTTTAAATAGGCCTGTTAGCAATGCCAGCAGCTACACCCCTAGCTCAATACAGAGAGAACAGGCAAAATCTTCCAGCTTCCAGTCTCTCCCTGGAGGGAGTTTGTCTACACACTTTTCTGGGTGCCATCTAAGGGTTGAACTTCTAAACAGCCTGCATCTGGGAGTGAAAAGGACAGGTAAACAAGACTTCAGGAGCCTGAACATGGCCCTTCCTGCTCTTTCTCCCCACCTGCACCGCTGGCTTGTTTTAGGGATAAAACTCCGTTTCCAATATCTCTCTGGAAGGAGTCTGTTCACTCTCCTTGGTGCAAATGTACATTGCCACAGCCATTATGGAAAATAGTATGGAGATTCATCAAAATTTTTTAAATGGAAACTACCATATGTCCCAGAAATTGCTCTTTAGGGTATACACCCGAAGGAAATGAAATAAGCCCCTCCTAGAGATGTAGGTGTTTTGGTGTTCATTGCAGCATTATTCACAGGTGCCAAGAAATAAAAATAACCTAAGTGTCTGGGCAAATGGATGAATAAGTTCTGGCTATGCATAGTGCAATATCATTCAGCCTGAAGTAGAAGAAGATCCTACCATTTATGACAACATGGATGAACCTGGAGGACATTATGCTAAGTGAAATAAGCCAGGCACAGGACAAACACTGCATGATCGCACTGGTATGTGGATGCTAAAAGAAGCTGAATCCATAGGAACAGAGAGTAGAACGGTGGATGGGGTTGCAGGTATGGAGAGAAGCAGGTCAAAGGGTACAAAGTTGAAGTTATGTAGGACGAATAAATTTAGAAATCTAATGTTCAGCATGAAGACTATAGGTGATAATATTGTATTGGATACTGAAACCTAATAGGATAGATTTTAGGTGCACCTGCCACACACACAGAAACAGGCAACAATGTGAGGTGATGGATGTGTTAATTTGCTTGACTGTAGTAATCATTCCACTATGTGTATGTGTATATGTATCAAAAATCATGTTGTTCATCATGAACATATAAAACAATAAACACAGAAAAACTAGCCAAGAATTAAAAACAGTGAGGGATATTTTGCATATTGCATATGCAGGACATTACTTACTTCACCACCACCAAATCCCAGATCCATGTCTCAGGGAAGTACTTTCGTATGGTCTCTGTGTGAGGAGGCTCTTCAACATGCATCATGAGTGCATTGCCGCTTAGCATTACCTCTGAGTCTATGGTGGGTGAAGGAGAAGACAGGGCAATAAACTTACAGATAAAACTTACAAGAGACTGTCATACTTGGCACCAAAAAATCAAATAGTCTGATGAAATAGAGAGGAACAAGGAGAGAACACTTGGGTCATCAGGGAAAGCTTCCTTGAGGGGGAAATAGGTTGGATGAATTATGAAGTATTAGAATACCTAGGAGTGAGCTGGGGGAGGAGGAGCATAAGCAGAGGCTATAGAGACTTTGGCAGACACACTTGGATTGTCTGTGGGACAGAAGGACTCTGTGGAGTCTTATGAAGCTGCTGCCACCGTGCTAAGTGGAGGGTGCTATGACACGGGGCCATGAATAGGGCAGGAATCCAAGTTTGCGTTGGGGTGTTCCTGTGCAGGAGCAAAGAAAAACTGACATAGATGTTATGACAGTGGCTTTGAGAAACAGTTTACAGCAGGGAAAAGTTCAATGATAATACAGACTCTTTATTCTCTGTCCTGTCAGAAGATGACAGTTTCTTTCACTCTGTTCACCTTCTACTAAGGTGTGCTGGTAAATATTTCACAACCAGCTCTCTGGGAAAAAAAATACCTATTTTTACACACCTATTCATGCACAAATTTACTATAAATCTTACTGATAAAGGATTATACAATATAATTTATAAATCATAAAATATGCTACAGACTTCATAGTAAATTCCATAGAGCCAACTAATTCTCCCCAAATGCTTTCCTTGATTTTGATCCTCTTTTCTCTGTATTCAACTTATCCTCAATCATGGTTTGACAACATGGGACTATAAATAAATGCTTGATTACTATTCAGTTCATGAAAGAAGTAGCTCATGGCACTGATGAATGTGTGTGGTTCCAACATAAATAATGGCTGATGTTTTGGGGAAGTTGAACAGCTTTTTTACCTGATTGAGAACGTAGCACTGTTTTGTGAACGTTTTTTTTCTGTTTACACCAACCCTATGCTTGGAAACTTTCTCTTTCCTTTTCAGCACAACACATCTATCTCCATTCACTAGACTTTGAGTTTATATTGCTATGTGACCTTCAGCAATAACCTTAATATGTATGACTCACAAGTCCTTTTTGGTGTTAATTTTTGTTACATTGTATCAAAATTTAAAAATTTAAAATTTGGTTAATATATTAGGTAATACATATTTATTAATCTCTTGTTTACCATAATGTGCGCGTCGTAGACCTTCAGGTGCATACATTGCAAGCGGTTCAGGCCGTGAACATATGTTGGGTTTATGAATCTTTGAGTTGGTCAATGCCTTTAAGCCCATGTCCTGCAAAGGAAATTATCATCTAACCAGTAAATATATATTATAAAATATACATAGGCACATACTTCTTTTCATTGAATTTGACAAACAATCCAGTTAGCTTAATATTAAACATTTAATGTTCACATCTGTAGAAGAGATATTTATACACTTAAGGAGGTAATTTTATTCTTTTCATTAAATTTTTTCAATAGTAATTATTTTGTATATGTGATATTTATAAACATCGCAGAGAATTTACTTTCTGTGAAAAAAGAAAATGAATAATACTCCAGAAAGTTCCAGTTTAGTTCAGTATCTTTCAGCAGATCTGCTATTAGTGGAGAAACCACTTACCTCTTTATATCCCATTACCCTCAATCATGATATGAAGGCATTCAGATAGACTCTTCCATGTATAATATTTTAAGAACCTTAAGAACAGACCATCTACAACATAAGACATTTACCCGTAGGAAGCTATACATATCCTTTTCATTTGTACTCGATACTGGAGAATATGTAATTCCATTAACAAATATATTGTGACGATTGATGCAGTCTCCATCGTCATGGTCATTCAAATACTCAGGGAAGCCAGTGAGGTCCTTCACTGGTAGCAGGTCATAAACCTGTACAAATACAAAAGACAACAGAGTAAACTTCTTTGTGATTTTTTTTAAGTTCAAGGAGAAAAGAACAGGAATTATGAACATCAGTCTTTCTTTGAGTGCTCTCATTGCTTTGATGATTTATAAGAGAGGATATGGGTCATTTTCTTGACACAGTGTTTCCATTTTGAAGATGTTGAACAATTTTAGTAAAAACACAAAGTACTCCATCTCAGTACTCAAGGATCATACTACTTCATTACACAGTTCAGAGGCCACCACTAGACTCAACACTAGAACGAAATAAAATTTTATTAATTGAAAAATTGAGGTCTGTTCTATTTGTGACATTGCACAAAGCTTTGAGATGATAGAAGGAAATGACAGTTTTGTGTTTATCTTGTGGCAAGCAACTGACTCAGTGTATAACAAAGTTAATGAATGCATATTCTAAACAGGCACATGAACAGACATGTCCTCTCTCCACAGGACACAATGGCATTTATTTATTTATTTATTTTTTGAGATGGAGTCTAGCTCTTTCACCCAGGCTGGAGTGCAGTGGCACAATCTCGGCTCACTACAACCTCTGCCTCCTGAATTCAAGCTATTCTCCTGCCTCAGCCTCCTGAGTAGCTGGGACTATAGGCGTGTGCCACCATACCTGGCTAATTTTTGTAGTTTTAGTAGAGACAGAGTTTCACCGTGTTGGCCAGATGGTCTTGATCTCCTGACCTTGGGATCCACCCACCTTGGCCTCCTAAAGTGCTGGGATTACAGGCGTAAGCCACCACGCCCGACCCATGATGGCATTTTCTTAGGTATTATCAGTGGAAACAAAATGCTCCAGATCTTCATATTGAAACATAAAACTTTAACTGTAAAATTCTAGGCATGATGCTTTTAAGTCCGTTTGAAGGAGAGAAGACAGACAGACATAAATATTGTGATAGTGA